CTTTGCAGCGATTGTGGTGTATTTGTTGCTGCCTTTGCAAAGTATGTTAGTCTTGGAGAGTTATCAATTTCGGTAGAAGACCTTTCTGATATTGACCAACATCGTAGACGGTATGGAGCGCTACTTTGGGACTATGCTAGAAAGAAGGAGGAGCATGGAGCAATCAGTGAAAGTGAGGTTACTGGCAAATTGGCAAGGAGAAAAGATGCACCAACTTTGAATGAGAAAACACGAGTCCAGAGGAAGAAGAAGTAGTTGTAATGTTTTGTATGGAACATGTAGTACAATTGTTTAGTTGATGCTAGTTTAGAAGAAAGATGGTAGACAAGTTTTTGAACAATATTGTTGTGTTTTAATTGTAGCAGACTTGCGCTACAATTATAGTAGCCTTTGTTTTTTTTCTTATCCAGTATAGTAGTTCAAATGGAAACATTCTGTTGGTTTTATATTCACTTGTTGAATGTTTACAGTACTTGATCTTCATTATTTTAGCATATAAATCCTTTCCAACTGTATTTTTATACAGTTATTCTGTCAACACAAAAATATGTAGTTATTTTGTTGTTTTTCTGTAGATAAAGTGTAAAAATCAGTAACTAAAATATTTTGTTGCTTTTACATTCAATTTGTTGAATGTAAACAGTACCTGATCTACATTATTTTTAGCATATAACTTCTTTCTAGCTGAATTATAATCTAGTTATTATGTCAGCTCCAGCTATTGTAGTTTTTTTGTAGTTGAATTTGTAGAAAATATTTAACAATGTGTTTTGTTGCTTTTATATTCATTTGTTGAATGTAAACAGTACTTGATCTACAATATTTTAGTATATAACTCTTTTTCTACTGATTTATAATGTTGTTATTCTGTCAGCTCCAGTTAATGTAATTTTTTTGTAGTTGTATTGTAGATAAATTACAAAAAAATATTAACAACTATGTAAAGGATGCTAGAGATAGTAAAAAAAAGTGGTAGATTATATATATAGAAACCATTCATAAACAAATCACTCTATGAAAGTATTATCTCAATATAGAAAAATCCTAACTAACTACATTATGATCTTAAAAAACCTCAACAATTACACATCAAATTCTGTTATCCTGAACTCACCAACAATTTTTATGAAATATTCTGTTAACTACATAAAATTTTATTTCTTTTTGGGTGCATTCTTGCAAGATCTTTTGTTATGCCCTTCTCCTCTACAGTTGCCACATGAAACCTTGTACTTCTTTGAATTTATTTCATCATATGTTTTGTATCTTTCTTTTTGAGGTCTCCCTGGCTGCCTTTTCCCTCCTGCAGGTGGATTTACTACTTCTTGAGATATATGTTGTGGCACATTCCATTTGCTTTCATCAGGCAGGGATTTTACTGGTATTTCATAAGTACGCAATAGGTTCTTCCTTGTGTAATAAGAAGAACAATATTGGTCAAAAGTCTCATCCATGTGTCTTAAAGCAGCCAAAGCATGTGGACAAGAAAGTTCATCAAGCTGGAATTGCCCACAAGACAAACAACATAGCGCCTCACACCATCTAGTACTGTATGGATGTAGTTTGTTGAAGCCCTCACCTACAATTACATTACAAACAAAAAAACAATTCATATACGGTTAAATTCAAAATATCTACAAATTATCTACATTGTCCTGTATAAATTAATTTGATGCAATAAATGATCAGATCTTACTCTAAGCTTGTGCGACAATGTTCTGTTGTCATCCAACTCTTTGTTGAATTTAAACCCAAGGTATGTGAATGTACCCTTTGCTTTCAATAACTTTTCCTTCATCCAACGTTCAAGAAGAGTCCTCATATACTCTAATAGTTCTACTATCGGCAGCTCTCTTGCATATTTTGTTACAGCATTCAACGACTCTGCAATGTTTGATGTCATAGTCCAAGTTCTGTTCACCGTAGCATGTACTCGAGACCATCTATGGTAGCCAATGTTGTATAAGTATGCTTTAACACACGGGTCAATCTCTTCAATCTTTGACATCCTTTCATTAAATTCATCAAGCGTGTATGATCGTGCCGTGGCAAAGTACAATTCGCTTAACTTTAGATGACCCTTCTTGAGGCTTGCCCTTATATTCGTCCAAGTATGCCACATGAAAGAATAATGTGGCATGCCGGGATAAACAATAGATGTTGCCTTCAAGATACTCTCATTCCGATCCGAAACAACACACATATTTGGTCTTTCACCATATGCATGTTTGAATTGCTCAAAAAACCACTTCCATGATGCGTCATTTTCTAAATCAACAACAGCATATGCCAATGGTAATATGGTACCTACATTATGTGGCAAATAGCAATTAATTGGCTGCAGGAAAATGCAAAGGAAGACATATACATACAAACTACAACTTTTCAACAACATAGCTACAATAAATCTACAAGTACTACAAAAAACAGACAAGCTACAAGATTTCTACAATAAAACTACAATACCTGCTGCATCCATTGTACTAGCTGTTAGCATTATTCCCCTGTATGCTGACTTTAACAAGGTCCCATCAACTACTACAACTGGCCTACAATATTCCCAACCACTGATTGACGTACAAATCGCAACAAATACATACAAGAAGCAATCATCGACCGTCTTCTTCAGTTTAACTACAGACACCGGATAAGTCTTCTCCAAAATATACAAATAACTAGGCAATTTGCTGTAGGAGTCAGCAGGATGACCTCTCAAAAACTCCAAAACCTTTTCCTTTGCTCTCCAGGCTTGCATGTATGTTAAGTTCACGCCGTGTTTAGACAACATATCAGTTTGTATGTCTTTTGGTGCGTAAATTGTCTTAGGATCAGCATATTTTGGAATAACCATGCTACCAACTACCATAGCAGTAGGTTTGCGTTGTATGAATGTACTGTCCATCAAAGAGCATATGTGCAAGCTGTTAAATGTTCTAACCTTGAACATTGCAGAATCATTTATGCTAGTTGCCTTGAAGTGCCATGTACAATTTTCACCAACACATACCAGCCAGTAGCTACAAAATAAAAACAATTTAAACACTGGTATAAAAAATGTAGATCACAAAAAAAACAGTTTTAGCATAAAAGATCATATACAACAATTTATATACAAAACAACTACAAACTATCTACAATGTTGTTAAACAATATCACCAAAAAAAACTGAAGAAGTAAAAATTTAAAAATAAACTACAAAATAAAAAAGAATAGCAAGTGCAATGTTCATACCCTCTAGCACTAGATCTTTTAACCCTGAATTGGAACTTGTGCATGACAGAATAATGATTCATTGCAGTTGCAATTGTTTGCTTGTCTTGGTATACTTGTCCTATTTCAATAAAACTTGGTGTACTATCTGTTATTATTATACTTTCATATTCCTCTATAACGAGAGATGTTGGCATATCAAGTAACTTTAGTATTCCAGACAAACCTGCATGAAAATAAAGATAAATTCTGTTATGAACAACTTGTAAAAATTTTGTAGATAATTTCTAGAAACATTAAAATTCTGTATTTCATATTAATTTTTCAAATGATACGTAGTTTTATTGTAGAATAAATGTAGAAATTTTGTAGATATTGTGAAAATCCATACTAATATATATATTTACTCTGACATGTAGTTTATTTGTAGATAAAATGTAGATAAAGTGTAGGACATTGATATACAACCAGAATTTGATAGAAAATGTAACAACACAAACCTGCAACTATGTTCTCATTGGTGATACTCAATTCCATATTGAAATCGCGAACAGTTATACATAGTAGATATGATCCTAAGTTTTTGTTTTCCTTTTTCGTCTCCATGTATACACGAACACCCATATCGTTCCTAATTTCCATTGGAGGACAATGCTCGTTGACAATGTATTTGATTTCTATAATTTTTTTCGGATGTATCAATCATTAATTGTTGTGCTATTGTAGAAATCAATAGACTATAACTCGCATCCTCATCGACAATGCCATCGACCTAAAATTTTCTAAATCTCCTATAGCTATCCCAATTCCCATTCAGTTGTAGCATAATTGGGATTTTGGACATAATTGCATTTGTTGCAAAAGAATTATAGAAGATTTAGTCGTTTTTGATTTGTGAAATCAGAAAAAATATTGAAACACAGTGTATCGCAAAAACAGAGTCGCTAAATTTTGAATCGAAACAGCCGATAATTATTAATGTATGATTTGCGTTGTAAAATATCTGGAAGAATATTTAATTTCCCAATATTAGCGCGCCTAAATAAGGAAGCCTACAGCTACAATGATTCCTTATTTAATGAATTGTCTATATTTTGTAGAAATACTATTAGCATGACGGGTAATATGCAAACTATGAACATATTTGGCAATATAGTTTCCTATATGGTATAGGAACGAAAATTTTCCTTTTATTTATGAGTAGCTTAGTTAAGAGGCCCAATGTATATATATAGGTAGAGAGACAGAATGTTCTGGATTTTGGCATTTTATTTTGTTTACAGAAATGTGAGATATTTTCTCCCCAATTCTCTCTCTTCTTTCAAGCCCTAGATACAATTTTTTGTCAATCTCTCTTTCAATTTTGTATGTTAACATGGTATCAGAGCGGGAAATCCTTTGATTCTCGTCATTCTCTATCTAGCGGTTTTACGCTCATTTGATTTCGTTGAGTTTTTCGTCTTCGTCGGAGGTTTCTGATTTCGCTAGAAATTCACGATTTTTCAATTTTCGTCGGAATTTTAGAAGTTTTGTGTGGTTTTCTTCTCCTCTGCTGCCCAAGTTTTGTTTTCGAGGATAAAGCTTTGGTGTTCACTCAGTTTCGTCGTCTCAATTTCACCAGAGCTAGTCGATTTCTGCTGCATTTTCTTATTAAGGCCTTTGCTTCTTCAGGTTGCGAAGAAGTCTGCTATATTCGTTCTCTATCTAACTTGTTACATGCGGTAGTTATATATGTTGTTGTACTGTTTATGGTGTAGACTCTTTTATTTTTTTATCAATTACTTGCTACCATGGTTAATTCTGTGCCTGAAACATCTTCGTCCACTACGTATACTCTTGAGCCTTCTAGCCCGTTGTTTCTTCTTCCTTTTGATGTCCCTGGCATTTCCCTTATTCCTGTGCCATTCTCGGGGACTGGTTTTGGAAGATGGAGACGTAGTATGATTGTGTCGTTATCTGCAAGAAATAAAATAGGGTTCATAGATGGGTCTTGTGCTAAACCTGCCAAGAATTCTCCTTAATATAGGCAGTGGGATAGGTGCAATAATATGGTCATATCATGGTTAACTAGCTCATTATCACCGGATATAGCTGAGAGTGTGCAGTATTCCGAGACTGTTGAATGTATCTGGTTGCAATTGAATAATAGATAAGATATGGGAGTGTTAATAGAACCAAAGTTTTTGAAATAAAGAGAGAACTTGCTTCTACTTTCCAAGGGACTCTCGATATTGCTTCATATTTCAACAAACTTAACAAAACTATGGGATGAATTGGGGATTATGTGCAGTAGTCATGCAAATTCTTGTGTTTGTGCTGCTAGGTGGGTCTCTAAAAAGAGAAGGAAGAGGATAAGGTTGATCAATTTCTCATGGGTCTTAATGAGGTCTACATAGGGGTTAGAAGCAACATTTTGATGATGCAGCCAGTTCCATCCCTTGATACTGTCTATAACATCCTGTTGCAAGATGAAAAACAGACACAGGTTATCCCCAACACTCAGTTCAACTCAGAATCAGCTTCTTTTAATGCAAATTTCAACAAGCTTTCCCCTTAATTTCCACCTCAAGAGCAGTATACACAAAGAGTCAATTTTGATCAAAATGGCTAAAAGGTGAACTTTGATCAAACCAAGGTTTCTCTGCCTTGCAAGTATTGTAAAAAACCTGGTCACACAATTGAAAAATGTTACAAATTATATGGATTTCCTCCAAATTTCAAATTTACAAAGGGGCAGTCTAAAAGATTTGGTACTGCTGCAAGTGTTGAGGGGCAGTCTTCTGGGATTTCTGAACCTCCTTCATCATATTCTTCACCTGGGCAAGACTCTTTGGTTCCTGGCCTGACCAAGGAGCAGGACACTCAGTTGATGAACCTGCTCCAACAGTTTACACTGGGTGAATCTAGTTCTCAGCCAATTCTCATGGGCTCTGCCAATTTTGCTGGTATTAATTCTTCTTCCCCTGTGTGTTTGAATGGTAGTTCTACTATGCGCATGTTAACTAGTGTAGCTGTAAGGGTTTGGATAGTGGATTCTAGGGCAACTAACCATATTAATTCTAACAAAAATCTTCTCTTTAACATCACACCTCTTCCTGTCCCCTATCTAGTTTCTCTACCTAATGGTTACAAGGTTTAAGGTTACTTGCACATGCTCTTTAACTTTGTTGCCATCTTTTACCTTTCATCATGTCTTGTACATTCCTACTTTCCATTATAATTTGATTTCTGTGAGCAAATTGATTATCCAGTTCAATTGTAATGTACTATTCACTTCCTTCTCATGTATACTTCTACAGGCCCATTCTATGAAGAAGCTTCTGGAGCTTGGTAGAATGGACTAAGGACTATACAAGCTCTACCTTGATCATTTTGCTCCTTCTGATCTCTCTAATTCTGTTGTCCCTGATATTGATAATTCTGTTTCTGCTTTTAATAATGTGGTACAAAATGCTGATTTTTCATTGCATGCAAATCAACTAGTTATGAATTCAAATTTTGCTGCTCCTTTATCATCTTGTATTGTTCAGCAAACTGTGAATAAAAATGATGTCCTTTGGCATCATAGATTAGGACATGTTCCTTTTGTGCAAATGAAAAATATACCTTGTATTTCTAATGACCTGTCAGCTAAACAATCTTTTACATGTTCTATTTGTCCCTTGGCTAGACAACCTAGGTTACCTTTCCCAGATAGCTCTTCTTAGTCTACCTCTTTGTTCCAACTTATTCACGTTGATACTTGGGGATCTTACCACACTCAATCATATTCTGGAGCTAAGTACTTTATTACCATAGTTGATGACTATAGCAGAGCAACATGAACACATTTGTTGCACACTAAAAGCTATGCATTTTCTGTGCTTAAAGCATTTATAACCATTGTGAAAACCCAATTTCAACTTTCTGTCCAAAAGATTAGAAGTGATAATGCTTTAGAGCTTGGATCTTCTACATCAGCCACCCAATTTTTTTCTCTGATAATGGGATAATCCATCAAACCACTTGTCCACACATATCACAACAGAATGGTGTGGTTGAGAGAAAACACAGACACCTACTTGAAACTTCAAGAGCTCTGCTGTTTCAATCCAATCTTCCTATCAAATTTTGGGGAGATTGTGTATTGACAACAACTTACCTTATTAATAGGTTTCCATCTTCAGTTTTATCCAAAAGAACCCCTTTTGAATTATTATATAGTCATCCTCCTTCTTATTCTCATTTAAGGCCTTTTGGTTGTCTATGTTATGTTACAGTCCCCAAGTGTCACAGGGATAAGTTTCACCCTAGAGCTTTTCCTTGTGTATTTGTTGGGTATCCTTTTGCCAAAAAGGGGTACAGGTTATAGAATTTGCAAACAAAGTCTGTTTTGTTTTCAAGAGATGTTGTGTTTCATGAATCTGTGTTTCCTTATAAGATTCCCTCTTCTGCTCCTACTCCTTCTTCTTCTCCTTCTTTTCCTTTGTTCTATGATACTTCTCCCTTTGTTCCTATCCCTCCTTCTACTACCTCCTCACCTTCTGGTGACTCTTTGCCTTCTTTTTCCTCACCTGATAATGTGTTACCCCCTCCTTCTAAGCTTAGGAAAAACACCAGATCCCATCATCTTCCTTCCCATCTCCAAGACTATGTTGCTAACCTTCCTCCTTCTATTTCTTGCTCCACCTCTACCTCTACTTCCACTACACAACTTGTTCCAGTGGAGCCTTATTCATACACTCAGGCTGCTGCCATTCCTGTTAGGCAAGATGCAATGAGACAAGAATTTACGGCTTTAGAGGCAAATCAAACTTGGAAAATTGTTGAGCTTCCTATTGGTAAGAAGCCCATAGGCAGTAAGTGGGTATATAAAATAAAATATAAGGCTTATGGTAGTGTGGAAAGATATAAGGCAAGATTAGTGGTTTGAGGTGATACTCAAGTAGAGGGGATTGATTTTAATGAAACCTTTTCTCCTGTGGTTAAAATGTGTACTGTCAGATGTTTAGTTGCTATTTCAGTTAAAAAATAGTGGCCTTTGTTTCAGTTAGATGTTAATAACGCTTTTTTACATGGGGACTGTCGCACCCCCTTTTTTTCCTCTTCGCGGGGAAGTCCGGGTTTCGACATTCATGGGGAACAACTCGTTTCCTTTTGGGAATTGGGTATTTGAAGAGTCGCCATCTAACGAATTAAGGTACGTTAGGGAACCTAGAGAAATTACCTCATGTAACCAGTTTGCATTACCAGAGATTAGGGTAAGGGCTCGAAATAACCTTAAGGAAAAGGTGTTAGGCACCCCTCGAGGTCCACAACGGTGGGTCCCGACCAAACTTACTTTGTGAATTAGTCAATTAGCAAATAGGTAGTCTAAGCACACATATGTAAAATGAATGAAGACTTTTTAAAGGATAAGCAGTCTAAGCACACATATGTAAAAGGAATGAAGACCTTTAACAGATAAGCAGTCTAAGCACACATATGTAAAAGGGATAAGGGAGNTTTTGTTGATGGTTGCACGAGAGAAATTACTGTGGCTATTTGTTTGTTGCGAAGAGCCGAAGAGAAACGAAAGAGCAAATACTTTCGAGAAGCAATTTGTGAGCTCGAAAATTATTTTATGTTTTGCTTTATTGAACTAACATTTCTTTTCTGATTTTTTGATCTCGGACACAAATTATTAACAATCTTAAGGAATATAAGAAGTATGTTTTTTGTGATGGATGCATGAGAGAAATTATTGTTGGGAAGAGAAACGAAAGAGGAAATAATTTCGAGAAGCAACTTGTGAGCTCAGAAATTATTTTATGTTTTTCTTTATTGAACTAACATTTCTTTGCTTCTCTGATTTTCTGATTTCGAACACAAATTATTAACAATCTTAAGGAATATAAGAATTATATTTTTTGTGATGGCTACATGAGAGAAATTATTGTGGCTATTAGTTTGTTGCGAAGAAGCGAAAGAGCAAATAATTTCGAGAAGCAACTTGTGAGCTCGGAAATTATTTTATGTTTTGCTTTTTGAACTGACATTTCTTTACTTCTCTGATTTTCTGATTTCGAACACAAATTATTAACAATCTTAAGGAATATAAGAATTATATTTCTTGTGATGGCTGCATGAGAGAATTTACTGTGGCTATTTGTTTGTTGCGAAGAGAAACGAAAGAGCAAATAGTTCCAATTGGTCAAAGAGGTGAGACATGGATGGAGAGTCGAGAGACGTAGTCGGTGGATGTTCAAAAAGAATAATCACAGCGTTCAAGAATCTTTTGCACCTTTGTCACTGAATTTTGAGAAACAATATCTTTCATTGGATCAGGAATGGAGACGTGTCCTTTTTGACATGGAAAATTAGCAAAACCACATAGAGTGATGGTTCTTACTCGTGGCATTTTGTGGAGTCGCGGTTCTTAAAAATCACATCTTATGGAAATGGAGTATATGAAAACCAGAAATTTGTTGTCATGGTTTTCTTAAAATTAAATACTATCTCGAATTTTACATGCATGATAAGTTATGCTATTTTATATTCTGATGATTTGTCAAGCAGTCTCTAGAGACCAGTTGTGATCAGTTTCTTTGGACTTAATATAATATGTTACTTTGTGTTTTTATGTTGGTCAAACTTTCTTGAGGAACCAGATGTGATCAGTTCCCTTAGTCGTCGTACAGTCAACTCTACAACCGTAAAAGTTGTTATACAATACCGACCGACAGTAGTGCAGCAATGTAGTTGTAGCTCGCCAAGGCCAAACTAAAAGACCCTATCTCTTCTCACATGTTCACTCATATACATAGAACATGATACAAGGTTTAGCCTAACACTTGCAAAGCTAAAAATCGTACTCTCAAGTGCTAGCCGCCACAACCTTCAATGCTCTCTCAAGAACAAAGTTGCTATAACCTCAAGAACTAGATCCAGAGATAGAAGATATCTTATGTCCTTAGGTTTATTGAGTCTTTGTTATTTTGTTCTTCACTTATAATCCTACACTACTTTCGAGAAGTGTCTTTGTAGGACAGATTTCAACCATTTTTGGTTTGATTTCTTGACTAGAGTTAGTCAAGGTTTGTTTCTTTGTAATTATTGCAAATGGCTTACAATAGAGTTATTGTAAAGGGTGAGGGATTAAGAGTTTAAATCCTAGATTGCAATAGGTTGTAATCTAAAGTTTGCTCGGTTTAGTGAAGTTGAAATCCTACTAGAGTAGGTCATGATTTTTTATCCCTTGAGAAAGGAGTTTTCCGCGTAAATATCGTCTGTCTTTTACTTTTTGCTTATTTACTTTGGGAATAGATAGAGAACATGGTTCCCAATATTGTTTGGTTTTACTTTCCATTTATATACTGTGGGAACAAATATAGAACCTGATTCCTTATACTATTTGGTGGACTCGCAGTTTTTATCAATTGATATCAGAGCAGGTTCTTTCTAAAAGGTTAACAGCTAGAAAGGATTTTCATCATGACTGCTCCACCAAACTTCAAGGAAGGATAATCAACCTATAGACCCCCAAGATTCAGTGACCAATATTATGGCTGGTGGAAAACAAGAATGCATGACTTCATCATGGCTGAGGACTCAGAGCTGTGGTACGTGATCTGTGATGGTTCTTTTGTTCCCATAAAAACAGTTGGTAAGGGAAAAGTTACAGTCCCAAGACAAGAAAGGAGTACTGGCGTGCTCTCATTTTTCACTTCACGGGGAAGTCCGAGTTTCGACATTCATGGGGGAACAACTCGTTTCCTTTTGGGAATTGGGTGTTTGAAGAGTCGCCACTTAATGGATTAAGGTGCGTTAGGGCACCTAGAGCAATTAACTCATGTAACCAGTTTGCATTACCAGAGATTAGGGTAAGTGCTCGAAATAACCTTATGGGGAAGGTGTTAGGCACCCCTCGAGGTCCACAACGATGGGTCCCGGCCAAACTTACTTTGTGAATTAGTCAATTAGCAAATAAGCAGTCTAAGCACACATATGTAAAAGGAATGAAGACTTTTAACAGATAAGCAGTCTAAGCACACATATGTAAAAGGGATAAGGGAGGTCCTAAGTTGTTTATCCTATAGGATCATATCCATGCAATGCCCGGTAATTACTCCTCAATGAGAGGGGCTACATGTTGCATTAGTGCACAGGTCATCATATCATTTTACTACCCATTATCCCACCCCTTAGTGGTTATTGAGCGAGTTTTTATTAACGAACTCTAAGCGTGATGTTACCCGTCCCTTCCTTGTGGTCCTGGAGGAGCTTAGGACCTCTAAATCTGGGCAGTTCTAGACAAACCTAAGTTATTTAAAAGGCAAAAATCTAGGCGACAAACAAATAACATGTAGGACAAGCAAATAGGGAAAAAAGCAGTTAAAAGGCTCGTGTTTACCTCCACATGTATATAGGCAAATAAACAGCACGTCTCAAACACAGATTTAGATAATTTTTAGAAAGAATCCTAGGATAGGATGTCTAGGTGAACATTAATACACAGATCTTGCAACAATATTTCAAAACTCAATGGCAGGGTCCTAATCAGTTTGCTTACTGCTTTTAAACCTCTAAGACTTAAGTAGTTTATACATAATTAAAACGCAGTTTCCAGTTTTATATAATGACATTAATCAGCTAAGGCTTGACTAGGCGTGGGGACTATACGTAATCACAATTACAGGAACTGTTTGAACAGTTTAAGAAATTGTTCAACCTACAGACATGTTGTTCTAGGTGACACAGATTTTTAACAGGTGATTTGCACCAGTTTGTGTTTAGAAACATGACATCTATACGTGGGGCTGTTTTTTATACCTTTTCATGGACAGTTATTTATTTTAATCGAAATAGACATGGTTCATACAAATGAAAACAGAGTTCCTAGAAACATGGTATCTAATGCATTACAGTTTAGTAAGGCAGGATTATTAACCTAGTAGCAGGATCTCTAAGTGAAAGTACTTGTGCAAAATTAAAGCATGGAATATACTGAGGCAATAAGCGTGAAGCCCTAAAACAGGATATCTAATGCAGGTTTAACATGGTTTGAATGCAAATGAACACATCAGTCCTAGAACATGATTGTTGAATGCAAATTTGCATAATATAAATCCTAGAAACATGGTTTCTACCCAGCATTGCCCATAAGATCATATAGCTACCCTCCCTTTTCACTAGTCACCCCAATATCTATTTACAATTAATTATTATAGACCAATGATTGAATGAATTACACAAATGAAACATAGATTAACTATAGGGAGCGTGAAGTAGGATCAAAGCAATCCTGGGAATATCACGCCTTCAGTAGTCTCAAATGCCAAAGATTTCATAGCCAAATTCATGTCCAGGTGTGTCAGAGTTCCCTAAGGATCTCAAGGATTCCGGGCAGTGCTCACACCCAGACTTTCACAACAGGGATTGAGTAAGTGCAGTGTGGAATGGCCAGCCCCAGTGTGCCAGAGTTCAGAGGAATCTCAAAATGATCCCAAGGCAGTACACACACTGGAGGGGCAGAACTTAGGGACTTAAGAGTAAAGTGAGAGTGCTTGACATTGTTTTGAAAGGTTTTTTTTTACAAGAAAACAGTACTGAAATGACTCTAGAAGTAAAGAGGTTTTTCTGAAAATAAGTAACTAATTTAGTAGTGAAGCAGTTTGAGAACAGTACAAAACACTTTTGAAAATCAGCAAAACAGCCTAGTTGATTACAGAACAAATATGTCCAACATCACTCAATCAACAGCTTTCACACAGGGGTAGTGGGAATTGGGGGCACATAGAACACATCAGTGTATAATGGAGCATATAACAACATGATGCACAGAAATTTTCAAGATTTTTATAGGATTAACAAGTCAGTTATAAAATTGGTGGTAGAGACATAGAGCAAGGATAACAGAACAACCATGTGGAAAACATATTAACACTGGACAGGTTAAGCACACAACCAAAGTTACTTTGAGATACTAGACAACTTAGCATGATCTCATCAACAAAGTAGAATAAGCAGGGATCCAAATAAACAGACTAGACAACACTACACAAGTATTATAGGTATAGACATGCTGACACATATAGAACAAAACAGGTTGAGGCATGCTAGATAAAGCAGTAGGCAGATCATTGTGGATTAGACATACTAATCACAGATTCTAACAGAATGAATCTCAAACATGCTAGGCGAAACAATAATTAGGCTATGTAGTTTAGACATGCTAGTTACATATTGGGCAAACAAGATAGTAAACAGGAACAGGATTGGAACTCATAATCAATGAACTAAAACAACAATGAAACACATAGAGCTTTAGACTTTAAAATTGAATTAGGACATACCAGTTAGGGAGAGAAAACACAGAGTATAAAACAGATGTTGTGCAATAGCTAGCCTTGGCTTAAAGCCGACTAAATCAGTGAAGATTGCAAGTAACAGAGAAGAACAGAGAGCTTTTAAGTGTAAGAGCGTTTTTGAACTAATGTTCGTTGTCCAGAAGTGAGAATAGAGGAGAGTATATATAGTAGTCAGGGGCTAAACAGAATAAGGTAAAGAGATCAATCATTCAGCAATTAAGGGAACTTACAGAATCAATTATGCACGAAATAAGTAAAGTCTCCCCTAATTAAGGAGTAATTACCCAACGGTAAAGGGCGGGACAATATCTAAGGAAAGAAAATCAAGTAAGACTTAAGCACATAATGGGCAATTAGGGGTAAATAAATAGGGGTTCAATTAAGGAAATAATCTTGAGGAATCTATAAGTATCACGGCTAATCAAATAAGGCAAGAAAATAACTAAAAGGTGTAAAATAGGGAAATAATCAAGAATCACACATAGGTCTTAATAGAGCAAATCAGTGAATTAAAACTCAAAAATAATACTGATTTAAAGGAGAATAATACAGGTTTCCATGAATAAACAAACATGCCAAGTATAAACACACAGAATCAGTTGAGAATCGAATCAGAAACCCTGATAGAGACATACTAGGGTAAAAATCACAAGACATCAAATTAGGCTAAAGGAAAATAATGAGAATCAAAGCACAGAACAAAATAATGTGACAAGTAACACGGACAGACTCAAAGTCAAAGCAAAAATATCAGAAAATTACATAAACTAATTAGGGTTGAGGCAAGCTCAACATAAATCGGTCAAAACTCATAAGAACAGGAGATTAAACATTCAAAGTCAGAAAATATTTTGGAGAAAAGGATTTTCAGGAAACCCTAGCTTTAGGAAAATGGAAAGTCACTTAGAAAACCAGAAGATTTTTATGAAAATATGTGAAATAGGTCCGATTCTTCTCAGATCTGTACAGATCTGAGAAGATCAAAGGACAAAATTAGGTTTTTCAGAAATGAGATAGAGATGAAGACATAGGCTTAGAAATCCATAGATTTAAGGTGAAATAAGAAGTTCTTACTCGAAATCGAACCAGAATGGCCTGAAACAGGCAAGAAAAACCCAGAGGCATAAGCAAACTAGCCCTGGTTCCTTGAGAATCTTCTCAAGGACCTTAGAGACGGAGGTACCCAGCATAGGAGGGGTCATTAGAGGCCTGGGGTGGTGAAGAACCACCATGAATGATGGTAGATGAGTGACGGGGGGGGAGGGGGAGGAGGAGGGGAGAATTAGGGTTAAGGCTAGAGAGCATATGAGAGATGGAGAGGAGAGTGACGGCGGGGAGGGGTGAGAAGTGATTAGGGTTAGGGGGGTATTGGTTTAATTATGGTAAGGGATTTCTGGGTCGTTGATAAAAAAATGATCAACGGCCAGGATTAGCCAAGAATTGGGTCGGGTAGGTGAGGGTATTGGGCTGGTAGACTTAGGCTAAAATTGAAATTAAAAAGGCTATTTGTTAAATACCCTAAATAAATAAATTAAAATATTTTCTAATTATAAAAAAATGAATTTTAAGCATAGAAATGTTTTAAAAATAGTTGTTTAGTATTTAAAAATTCAAAGGACTAATTTTTGGTAAAATAATACAAAAAATGTATGCATGAGCTATAATTGCAAAGTTATTGTAATTATAGCCAAAAGGTGCCAATTAGTCTATTTATGGAATAATTTGGACTTAATAGGGCCATAAATAGTAATATTAACTCAAGAAATGTTTTTGAAATCATTTGTGATGCAATTTGTAGTTATTTATTAGAAATAAAATAATGGGCAAATTAATTAAAAATGTAGAAATTGTGGAAAAAATACCAATTTATGCTAATGCATGATTTTGATGACATATATGCATTTTAAAACTATTTTGGGAAAAATTGGGTATCAACAGGGACTTAGATGAGGAAGTTTATATGAAGCTCCTTTAGGGCCTTTCTATTGATTCCTCCTCTTCTGGATCTGCTACTTTAGTCTGCAAGCTGCAAAAATCTTTTTATGGGCTAAGACAGGCCTCTCGACAGTGGTATGCAAAGCTGTGTCAAGCCCTTTGTTCCAGGGGATACTCTCACTCTTTAAATGACTATTTTTTGTTTGTTAAGAGAATTGAGTCTTCTTCTATTTTTCTAGCAGTTTATGTTGATGACATTATTTTAATTGGGGATGATTTGTCTGAAACTTCTGCCCTTAAGAGTTTCCTTGATGCTCAGTTTAAGATCAAAGACTTAGGTTTGCTTAACTATTTTTTGGGTATTGAAGTATTCTATCACAAGTCTGGGGTCCTTTTGCATCAAAAGAAGTTCATTTCTAATTTTCTTCTTGAGTTTAATTGTCTTGATGCTTCTGAAGTGGTCAGTCCTTTAGACATTGCTCACAAGTTGCATTCTGATGTGGGTGAGCTATTACCTAAGCCTGAATCTTATAGAAGTTTGGTTGGCAAGCTCAATTTTTTGACTCATACTCGGCCAGACTTATGTTTTGTTGTCCAGCATTTGAGTCAATTTTTAAAGACACCTCGGGTCCCTCATATGGCTGCTGCTTTGCATGTTTTGAGATACTTAAAGGGGACTTCTACTTTTGGGGTGTTTCTCAGTAATTCTCCTGATTTCTCTCTGCTTGCTAGTTGTGATAGTGATTGGGCTGCTTGTCATAAATCTAGACGCTCTGTCACTGGTTTATGCATTCATTTGGGTGGTAGTCTTCTTAGTTGGAAATCTAAAAAGCAGAATATAGTCTCTTTGTCTTCAGCTGAAGCAGAATATAGGGCTATGAGTAAAGTGGTGGCTGAACTAGCCTGGTTGGTCCGGTTATTATCTGATTTGGGTCTTTCTATTGATGCTCCAATTCCTGTTTTGTGCGACAGCCAGGATGCTATTCACATAGTCAAGAATCCGGTTTCATGAGCGCACTAAACACATCGAAGTCGATTGTCATTTTATTCACACCAAATTAGCTGATGGCCTCATATCTTTATCTCATGTTCCTACTTCTTCTCAAATGGCTGACATTTTTACTAAGCCTTTGACAGGTTTGCAACATCGCACTTTGATTGGCAAGTTGGGTGTGTGTCCACCCTCCAACTTGAGGGGGGGGGGGGGTGTTGAGATTACATGAAGCAAGTTGAAGCAAGTTGGGTTGTTGATATTAGCTCTTTTGTATTTGGGCCTAGCCCAGTTCTTATCTATGAGTAGCTTAGTTAATAGGCACAATGTATATATATAGGTAGAGAGACAAAATGTTCTGGATTTTGGCATTTTATTTTGTTTACAGAAATGTGAGATATTTTTCCCAATTCTCTCTCTTCTTTCAAGCCCTAGATAAAATTTTTTGTCAATCTCTCTTTCAATTTCGTATGTTAACAAGGTTTGTAAAGGCAGCAAAGGAGGTGTGGTGATTGATGATTATACTTTTGTATGACCATAATCTTGGCTCTTAACATAATTTTGATGCGGCATATAACGTGTTTATTAAGAGAAGGGTAGAGAAGGGTAGTTTAGTGTATTGTATAGAATATTGAGAAGGGATATTTTTGTCATTTCACACTCTGTCTCCACTAACCACCGTGAAAGTGGTTATATTAGTTAAATACTGTACATCTCAGTTGGTGAATACAGAGTTTCATTTCTTCTCTTCCTTCTCACTACTTTCTCTCTCTACAACATTGCTTGATCCCTCAATTCTTCATTTGCATGTGTATGAATCCGAGTTCATGATACTAGATCTCGAGTTCTATCATGGTATCAAAACGATCGATCTAAATTTAGGACAAAATTCTTCAAAATAACAGTAGGAAGCCATTGCTGAAGCTGCTGCCATGGGACAACCAGAGATTGATATTTCTCGAATTGATCACAATCATCCTTTGTACTTGAGAGAATCGGACACGCCTGGTATAGCATTAATCGACATAAAACTCACAGGTCCATAGAATTATGGTCTGTGGAGTCGAGCTATGCGAACGGCACTGTTGGTGAAGAATAAATTAGGTTTCATAGAAGGAACCTGTGTAAAAAGCTCATTCAAAGGTGAATTGGAAAATCAATGGGAGAGATGTAATGTTGTAGTGCTGTCGTGGATTGGAAAAATAGTGATGGTGGAATTGCAACCTAGTATAATTTATGCATCGAATGCATCGAAAGTTTGGAGTGAATTTAAGGAACGATTTGATAAATCGAAACTAACTCAGACTTATCGATTGTGGAAGATGATAAGGTCGTTAACTCAAGGTACTGGTTCAGTCACTGTTTATTACTCAAAAATGAAAGATCTATGGGATGAAATGGATTTGTTAGTGGCAGGACCTGGATGTGATTGTGAGGAGACGAGGCATTTTATTAAACAATGCAGAAATCTAAGACTTTTACAGTTTTTAGTTGGTCTAAATGAAAGCTATAGTCATGTGAGAAGTCAGGTGTTACTCAAAACACCTGTTTTGACAGTTAATCAGGCATATGCCTTGGTCATACAAAAAGAGAGTCAGAGAACTCTTGGAGTAGGGGAGTCTAATAACGATGCTTTGACTATGCTAGCTGGAAAGAATCAGACATTCAATCAGGGATTTTAGGCAAAAAGACCAGGCTTGATTTGTGAATTCTGTGGGTATAAGGGTCACTTGAAGGAGAATTGTTACAAAATTATAGGATATCCTCCGGATTTCAGGAGTAAGAAGAAAGCGCCAACACAAGGAGTCAAGCCTTATGCTAATGCTGCTACAGCAGAAAAGGGGAATGCATCAAGCACGCAGTCCACACAAGGGAATTTCTTCACAGAGGATCAATACAAGCAGCTGTTAAACCTTCTGAACAAACAAGACACAGGTGACTGTCACTCTCTTATGGCAGGCATAAATGCATTATTATCAAATGCTTTTGACTGTGAATGGATATTAGATTCAGGAGCCTCACATCACATTAACTTTCATAAGGAGATTATGCATGATGTTAAGGATTGTAATGCACACAATGATAGTGGAGTGCAAGTACCAACAGGGAATAAGTGTCAAATAACTCATACAGGAAATGTTTCTATATTGGACAACCAAGTTTTGATGGATGTTTTACATGTTCCTAAATTTAAGTTCAACTTATTGTCAGTTTCAAAATTGACCAAGGAACTATGTTGTATTGCAATGTTCTTCCCTGACTTCTGTGTGCTGCAGGGTCTTTACAATGGGAAGGTGATGGGGATTATTAAGGAATCATGTGGATTATACCTTTTGCAGAGGAGATCAATGCCTACAGCAAAAATGGTTACCAACAATGCAAATAATTCAGTTCTTTGGCACATGAGACTAGGACATCCTTCAATAAATGCAATGCAGCATATTCAACAGTTAAAGAACTCAGTGGACAGCAAAGTACATCACAACTGTGATATATGCCCCTTGGCTAAGCAAAGTAGGCTAAAATTTTCATCCAGTAGTAATAATACTGTTAGTAGTTTCCAGCTTGTTCATGTAGATGTATGGGGACCTCATAGGATACCTACTCATGATAGGAAGTAGTACTTTGTTACAGTGATAGATGATTACAGTAGATTTACTTGGATATGTTTGTTGCAATCAAAGAGTGAAGTAATAGTTGTCTTGAAGAATTTCTTTTCAATGGTCAAAAATCAGTTTGGAGTGACTATTAAGACATTGAGATCTGACAATGGCACTGAATTCTTCAACTCTAATTGCAATGAACTATTTTCTTCATTAGGAATTGTTCATCAGAGTACTTGTCCCTACATACCTCAACAGAATGGGGTGGTAGATAGGAAGCATAGACACATTCTAGAAGTAGCTAGAGCTATGAAGTTCCAAAGTTCAATTCCTAATAGATTTTGGGGAGAGTGTGTTAAGACTACTGTGTATACTTAACAAATGGCTACTTCTATTTTAAAAGGAAGATCACCACATGAGCTTCTATACAATAAGCCACCTGACATAAATCATCTCAGGGTGTTTGGTTGCCTCTGTTATGCTAGCAACCTTCCAAGAGGAGATAATTCAGTCCAAGGGCAAATAGGTATGTACCGGTAGGGTATTCAACAACTCAAAAACGTTACATTCTTTATGATCTAGAAAGAAAGGTCTTTATGGTCAGCAGTGATGTTAGTTTTAGAGAAGATATGTTTCCATTCAAAAATTCTGAGGTGGATTCTGCTGATTTTCCAAAGCAGCCAGAATTGGTGGTACAATCTGCCCAGCCAAGCATTGAACAAGAACCAACAAGCAGCCTTGTTGATAATGGCACTCAAGAACAAATGACACATGCTGAAGATTTGACAGAAACTCATGAGGATCATATTGACACAGTCCCAAGAGAGACATTTCCAACAGATGCAAATACTTCACAAGCCAATTTAGATGAAACACAAATCCCTTCACAACCATCAAAACCATTACCAATCCCTTCACAACCATCAGAACCATCCACTCAACAACCACCAGTTCAGGAAACATCTCATGAAGTTAGAAAAGGAGGGAGAATCTCCAAACCTCCCATTTGGCTGAAAGACTATGTGACAACCAAGAACACTGGTAATCAATGTCTTTATCCACTATCCAAAGGTCTATACTATGGGAATCTGTCAACAAGATATCAATCATATTTGAGGGCTCAACATGCATTGAACCAAACTCCTTTAAGGAGGCAGTTCAAGATGACAGATGGGTTGAAGCCATGAATAAAGAAATACAAGCACTTGAGGATAACAAGACTTGGGAACTGACTGAATTGCCTAAAGGAAAGCAAGCTATTGGTTCTAAATGGGTCCACAAATTCAAGTACAAAGCAAATGGAGAGGTAGAATGGTTCAAGGCTTGTTTGGTTGCTAAAGGATACAACCAAAAGGAAGGACTTGACTATCATGACACATTCTCACCAGTTGCAAAAATGGTGACAGTGAGACTTGTTATCAGTATAGTCACTTCCAAAGAGTGGCCTCTATACCAAATGGATGTTAACAATTCTTTCTTACAGGGAGATTTATATGAGGAAGTCTACATGAGTATGCCTCAAGGGTTCACCAATCAGGGGGAGACCAAGGTATGCAGACTTCTCAAATTTTTATATGGCCTCAAACAAGCTTCTAGGCAATGGAACATTAAGCTTACTGAAGCTCTAATAGAGAGTGGATACAAACAGAGTGGATTTGATCATTCCTTATTTACCAAGAGACAAGGAGATGGTTTAGTGGTGATTCTCATATATGTGGATGATTTACTCATTACTGGTAGCCATACACATTAATAGAAAATGCAAAAATGACCTTACACAATCGATTCAAAGTAAAGGATCTGGGGCAGTTGAGATACTTTCTTGGAATTGAGGTTATGAGATAAAAGAAGGGAACATTTCTTAATCAAAGAAAATATGCTTTAGAGCTTATTTCTCAAGTAGGGTTAAGTGGATGTAAACCTGCTAGAACACCTTTGGAGCTAAATCAAAAATTGACCACTGTTGAGTATGATAATCATGTAGGAAATGCAAATGATCCAGAACTTGAAGATGCCACTACCTGTCAACAGTTGATTGGAAAGCTTCTTTATCTTACTATCACTAGGCCAGATATTAGCTTTGCAGTTCAGAGCTTGAGTCAGTTCATGCAAAGACCTAAACAATCACATTTGGAGGCAGCTTTTAGAGTGGTTAGTTATCTCAAAGGGTGTCCTGGATTGGGTGTGTTGCTGACTGATGATCCTATCACCAATCTGATTGCCTATTGTAATTCAGATTGGGCCTCTTGCCCTAACACAAGGAGGTCAGTCACTGGATATGTTATCAAGTTAGGAGAAGGACTCATTTCCTGGAAGTCCAAGAAATAACACACTGTTAGCAGGAGCTCTGCAGAAGCTGAATACAGGAGCATGGCAGCAGCAGTAGCTGAAATAACTTGGATCATTGGTCTGTTGCAA